TATATATATATATATATAACTTTTACGTCTCTTTAACATAGTATGTAATAAACAAAGCGTATCTTTAGACTATATTTACTAATTTCTTTTTATTATCAGGATGCTTGCGGTTACGTAACGTACGCAGATATCATTCCGTTTTCTCGTTGATGGTATATATATCGATCAGCTGATCTGTCAAAACAAGAAATCTAGATGGATTTAATGGCATACGTGCCCCACTTCTCGAAAGCGCCGAATGTGGAGGTAAATTGAATATTTTAAAATATCAGTCAAGTTCATCCAACTGAACAACATAATTCAATCATTATATCAATTACGACTCTACGAACGCTACACTGTTTCAAATGTAAATGTAACTCTTATATTACATAGCATGCTCCGGTTATTCAACATGTCTGCAAGCAACCGCAAGAACAGGATGAAATAAGGAATATTATAAAAGGAGATCGGATTTGGGATAAGCTGAATCGTTGGTGTTTAAAACAACGAATTTTATCTAAAAGACACCCTCTGACTCGTTGGTGCCTTAAAAGCACAACCGCAGTGAATTATGAAATTTCAAGGCATCTGAAATCGCATCGTTACATGATACATCCTTTCAGCTTGTTCAGGTTGCCTTTCAAATCTCTTCTTTTGATCGTTGTATAAATTTGAAACACCATTGTTACATGACACAACCTTTCAACTGATTCAGACTGGCTTTCAAATCTCTTCTGCGACAGTTTGTACTTATTAAAATACAATCCGAATTTCCACAGGATCGTTTGGGAATCGTTGATGATTGTATTTACATTTGTGGCTCTTTTGGTTACTCCGGTATTAATCACATTTTTCTTCGACAAACATGGTAATTGGCATGTGATTAATGACATCATGAACGTAGTGTTCTTCTGCGATATCGTTATGTGGTTCTTTACTGGTTACTACGATTATCGGACAAAGGTCACTGTCCTTGATCCCATGATAGTAGCACGGTACTTTTTCTACTTTTTAATCTCTATAAGTTATAATACTAATCGAATGGTGCATTAACATTAATTGTACTTTTTCTCTTTTTTTATAGGAAATACTTACAGAGTTATTTCTTCATAGACATATTGACCGTGTTACCCATAGGAATCATCGATTATATTATACCTAGCTCGATGTGGTACTGTGCTACGTTGAACATGATGAAGATATTAAGAGTCCGCAACATTATCTTTTACTTTAGTAGACTCCGTGATGTTAGTACTTCGTGTTGAAGATAACGAAAATGAGAAAAACGAATTGATTAGAATGACCTCGTGATTTCAGGTGTATAGAATAAATTTTCAATTGCATAAAATTCTAGAAACGTGCACGGTCGTGATAATGTGCATTCACTGGGCAGCTTGTCTGCAGTATTACGTCCCCATGTCTGTAAATACATTAGGCACGTTGAGCAACGAGTTAGTATTCAATGATTAATGATTTATTAAGTTCGTTTCTTTGGCCAATTCTGGGCTTGTGTATTCAGCTCTTGGGTCAAGTCATCATACTTTCTAAATAAACGAACGAAAGCAGAGATGTATCTCGTGTGCCTACATCGTACGATCGTCACCTTTGTACGTTCTACTCACTATTTAAATGTGAAAACGCATGAAGACATTACGCTAAATCTGATCTTGACGATCATTGGGTTCCTTGGTAACGTATACATATTAAGTAAGCATCTGCCTATCTTCAACTGTACTTTGTATCTTTGAATAAACGAAAATCTATTTATTGTAAATCTATTTATTGTAGCGCAGTTCTCTCAACTAATGACGACGTTTTACATAACTATCAAGCGCCACCTGAAGATAATACAACAGTTACAGGAGTACATGCGATACAAAGAGCTTCCATATACTCTGCAACGTCGTCTATCAACATACTATCATTATCGCAACAGAAAGAGTTTCGAAAGAAACAAAAAGATCATAGACGAAGT